ACGGGAGGTGCTTGTTGGTCGAGAAGCTGAAGCGTTCTGTTGTCTGTCCCTGATTTCGAGGGATGGGAATTGTGAATTTTTATTCTTTACTTTTTTAATCAGCTTTTATTTTTTCGTACTAACTTGGATTTCAAATAAAATTACATAAATGGAACGGGTTTGTTGTCATATACAAAATTTGTCAATTTTCAATATATTTCGAGAAAAACTTTCATACCTCTCATTACCACCCTGGTATCACTTGGTACTTGCTTCTTTTTTAACTCGAATTTTGAAAAATTCTCCCCAGAAGAAACTAGTTTGTCGTGATCTATTAGACCTATAAAATTTTGAGAAATTTTTTTCCAGAACAATAAGTACCACCATATAACACCCTGGTACACGGTGGTAAGTGGTGGTATACGTTTGTGAAATGTGATAAATGACGATTAATATATTTCTATCATAATGTATACAACCATTCTATACTCTATTGCGTTCATATTACCATGATACACTTCCATGCCACGTAGTATAATTTTATGTACGTACAAAGTAATACCATATTGTATAGACACGTAATAAAAGTCTCAATTTTTTTATTGTGAAATATATCAAATTAGACGTCATATCGAAGAGCATAATCAATTTAATTTTGCTATGCAAATGTTATTTAATTTTCGACTAAAAACGAAAAAAAAGATATGACCCGTTTAAAAATGTACGTAAAAATAAGTACTAGTTATGTATAATTAGTTAATTAATTATACACCCTTGAATTATACATAGAACCGCTACCTGCCATAACATATCTGATCTTGCCGACTGCCGAACCGAAAGAAAATAAACGAAGAATAAGACCAAACAACGTTCCTTCTCCCAACCAATCCCACCTCTGCCCATAATCCCATATTTCCCCGGATCAAGAAACAAACTAACAAACTCTTTCCTCGCCAAAAAAGAAAAACAAAACTCTTTCTTGCTCTTTCCCCGGACTTTTCGACAAATTAGTAGCCGGACCACACGAATCTTTTTCCCATGGTTTGAGTTTCAGGAACTCCCGACCCGAGTAGTTATATATACGTTCAGTACGTACTATCAAGCTCACTTGAACTCACAGAAATCCGAACCCAATATTCACTACTGCAGTCTTGACTCTTGAGAGATATGGAGAAAAGTAGTAGCAGAACCGTGTGGTTGTTCGTGCTGGTACTTTTGTGGTTTCTTCTGCAGCCGGGATTCGGCGGCGGCGTAACCGTTGCTGTCGCCGACGACGATCCTTATGCTCTTTACTGCAGCGACGACATGTACTTCAAGGGCGACCACGATCTCAAGGCGCAGATCAAGATAGTGCTTCAGAACTTGCTCGAGAGAACAAACGCTTCCAAGGAATCCGATATCCGGTCAACGTTCGAATACCCTTCCTACGATCCTCGCGTCTACGGTTCTGCATTCTGTCAGATGTCGAAACCGGTGGACTGCGCGCAGTGTCTCAGGACGGCCAAAAAAATGCTTCTTCGTGGGTGTTACCACAGCGCCGGCGCTGAGTTCTACTCCGAGCTCTGTTTCTTGAGATTTGAGTTTTACAACTTCATTTCTTGAAATCTATTTTTAAGGACGAGATTTACCTGACAACGTGATCTATAACTCTTTTTTACCATTTTTCGTTGTTGTATTCTCAGAGTTGGTACACTGGTTATGTGTCCTTTACTATTTTCTAAATACAATTCAATTTCAAAATTTTGTTTCATTCAAATTTAGTGAAAGTAATGATGGTGCTGATCATTCCACTACAAGAAACTGTACTTTTTGCGACGAATTCTATCGCGACGATACAAAATTCGTCGCAGAAAGGGTACAATTTGCAACGAATTCCACCTTTTCGTCGCAAAATGTGTGAAGTTTTTTTGCGACGGTTATCTTTCGTCGCAGAATGTATGGAGATTTTCTGCGACGATTCCCTTTCGTCGCAGAATGTATGAAGATTTTCTGCGACGGTGGCCTGTCGTCGCATAATTGATGAAGACTTTCTGCGACGATTGTCTGTCGTCGCAAAATGTTCGAGACTTTCTGCGACGGTTGGTGTCGTCGCAGAATGTTCGAGACTTTCTGCGACGGTTGTGTGTCGTCGCAGAATGTTCGAGACTTTCAACGACGATTGTTTATTGTCGCCGAATTCGGGGCTTCTGCAATGATTTCTGCCATCGCAGAATGTTTATAGACTTTGTGTGATGTTTTTCAGTCGTCATATAATGTTTCAAGAATTTTATTATTGGAACCATAGTTAGTAAATACTCCATTTAATACACATATATATACCCATACGTATTTTATTCGTTTAAAACTTCTGTATCTGTATTATTGTCAATGCGTTTCATCTTCCCCCGTTCATTTGATGGCTAGCTCCCATACTAACCACGTACAAAACTCGTATAACACGTTTAATATCTGTATTTAATGAATTAAATTGCTAACTTAGCTATTATTTATATATTTATTTATTTTTAAAATAATTAATTTTATAAATGAAGTAAAATACCCGTATGTATTATATACCTACCCTACCCATACCGTATTTTACTAATGAAACTTATTATTCCAACATAAGCTTCTTTCGTTTGTTTGGAACTTAATTATTCCAACTTAATTGTTACAAATCTCTAAGGCATATGAGGAATATAATAGTCTAAAATAACAAATAATCGGCCATAGACTAATTGGTTTATTTTTTTATAATGTTGAATTCATTTATTGAATTTCGGAAAAGAAAAAAAAATACGAAATTACAACCAAGCTATACAAACCAACCAAAAGATAGTCCAAAGCGCTTTTCTATTAAGATTGATTAATGATTAAATACAGATGAAAATTAATAAATAACAAGCATTTGCTGTAAGCATGATGGTTAAAAATAGCTGTAAGTTTTGGTATGTAAGACGTCAGCTGTTCGAAACTTCCAACAGACATTTAACTTTTGTTCTTCCCGAATTGAGGGTAGATAGCGGCTGAAAATGAAAAAAGAAATTGAATTTTTTGGTTACATATAAATGATGATATGGGCCTTAAGTAATTTTTCTATGGGTTGGTATGCACGAAGCCCATGCCATGTTTCTCTAAGAAAAAGTCAGCCCGTAGCATAGCATGGCTTTTTTTTTTCCAAGAAATGTCAAGAGAAAACCTATACAATCTACCCCGACCCTGCCCAACCCAATACATCAGAGAAGCCAACCCACAAAATCAAAGGCGCAAAACTCTAAAGGGGAGAGTAACAGTGCTTTCTGCGCCACTCTATGGGCAGCACTGTTAGCAGTCCGAGGAACTGCCCTAAACTCTAAAGAAAAAGAGACGGAAGAAAGGAGAAGGGAGCAATCCCGAAGCACCGGACCTCCAAAGGAGACAGAGAGAGCACCTTGACGAAGCTGCCGAATCACCACCTCTGAATCTCCTTCTATGATGACCCGAGGCAGCACTTTGGAGACTACAAGGGCGAAGGCGGCCCTAGCTGCTAGGAGCTCCGCAAGATAGGGATCAGCAATACCGGGAAGGAGAGACCCTAAAGCCAGAGCCACATGCCCATCTGAACTGCGCACCACAAGACCAGACGAGCACCCAGAAGGACGAACAGCAGCATCAAAGTGGAACTTCACAAAGCCAACAGGAGGAGGGGACCAAGACGAGAGGCGAGAACGGGAAGGCCGGGGCGGAGCAGGAAGGGAGGAAGACAGATCGCGAACTTGGAAAAAAACACTGACGAGCGAGAGACCGGGCATGAGGCTGGACATGCTCAAAGACCACCTTATTTCTAGACTTCCAGATCCTCCATAATACACAAACGTATAGGAGAATGTGGGTTTGGGGGTGCTCAGAAAGCATAACATGTCGCCACCAGAGACTGAAATTCACAGTCGGGGCCGAGGAGATGAAATCATTTAGACCCATGAGCGACCACAATCTTGTGGCCAAGGGGCATTTGAAGAACAGATGTTCAAGACTTTCCGGTCTTCTCCAGCAAACCGGGCAGCGAACTAGACAGTTTACTCTTCTGGTACTTTGAAAACCATAATTTAATTAATTCTAAAAGTCAAAAATTAATTATGACCGTCAGAAGTTAATTCTTTCTATCCCATAATTTGATATATAAACCAACCATAAAGGTTGTAAAGCGCCATAAAAGGACCGCTTTAGTGACTCATTAATCACTTGTAACGGATCATTAAGGACCCAATAACATCAAATAAAATAACTGATGTATTAAAACCCAAATAAATGGACCAATGAGGCCATTAATTGGTTAAGAGCCAAAGTTAGCTTGCTAAGCTTCCGCCCACTTTTAAAAAATAAAAAATAAAAAAAAAATTGCTTTGGTTAATCACTAAATTCTTGTAACGTTTAATCAAAAGGCCATTAAAACCCCAATAACATCAAATAATTGATGTAATAAAACCCAAATAGGGAATTAACGACACCAAGCGTCAAATCAGTCCGAAACGGACGAGTGCAGCCATTAAATGATCATTTTAATGCTCACCGGACGAGCCGGTTCGGACAGGTACGCTTAATCAGGCTTGATTACAGCCTTGATTCGGGTTAATGGTTACCCCAATTGCGCCCCGACAGGTACGCTTATCAGGCTTGATTACAGCCTTAAACCCTCTAATAATGGGACCGAGGGACACTGATTTAATTACAATCAATATCATTAAATAGCGTAACGGATCATCGAAGGCGTCTGGGGATCGGCTATCGGCTTACTCGACGCCGGAGGTTGAACTGAGAATCTGGGACGATGATTTGATTCCGGCGGCCAGAGTTCCTTTCGGAATCAGGAGGGAACAGACTAGCTTTGAAGCAAAGAACACTTCTAGATCCACAACAGAAGAAAACCAAAAGGCACTAAGCCCAAATTATACAGACGAGCTCAATCGCAAATCTGAAAAGGTCACAGGAGCGAGATCCAAACAATCCAGAGCAGTATTTAACCAGATTTGCACCAGCAACGGCGAAGCAAATCAAAAACTGAATCAGTAAAACAAGAGCCGAATCCGAAATCGTTTATTGTACCATGGAGCGTAGAACTCGACGACGATGAAATCGTGCTTGGCGACAGTGTCAGTGAAATTGGTGTGGTCGAGCGTGAGCACGAACTCCTTGGACTCGGCCTCCTCAGCCGCCGAAACAGCGCCGATCAGAACGAGAGCGGAGACGAAGAAGAGAATTGAAACCCCGATGCCGCGAGTGCCGCCGGTGACGAGAGCGGTCATGCCGTGGAGAGACCATCTGGAGGCCGGCGGGGAGTGGCCGTTGGCAGTCGCCATTGGGATCTTACGGAAGAAAGAGAGAATGGGATCTGTTGTGCGATTGGAGGAGAGGATTTGGAGTATTTATTTTGCATGATCTGCTTAAACATAGCTTAAAATTTGTGACTTCTTAACATTTTCACTCTGTTTGATATAAGCACACACTCATTACCCCCAAGCTTGACGGAAGACAACCCTAGCCGCCCTGAACTCTCTTTTTCCTTTCTTTTTCCTCTCTCATCTTTTCATCCAAAATGGACAACTCGTTTCCTCAAAAAAAAAAAAAAAAAAAAAATGGACAGCTCGAATCGGCTCATCTCGGCAGCGGTGAAGGAAAGATCGATGGTCGGGAGAAGCAAAGGGATAGCTGGTAGCTTCGGTGTCCTATACTGAAATTAAACCAACAATAAAATCTGAATAAAAAACTTCCCGTTGCTAAATCTTTTGTGACCTTCTGCGACGATTGATCCGTCGCAAATTAACCTTTCTGCAACGAACACTTCGTTGCAGAAAACTCGAATTTTCTGCAACGACGCAAATGTCGTCGCAGAATAATGATTTTGCGACGACACTATCGTCGCTAATCGTTAACTTTCAGCGATGACTTCGGTTTTTTTTGCAACGAACTAGTTTTTTCCGTCGCAGAACTTTCTGCGACGCTGTATGGGCGACGAAGTGGTTTTCCTTTTTGCAACGGAAGAATTCGTCGCAGAAGGTTTTTGCGACGAATTTTATGCTTTTCTGCGACGAAATGGTCCGTCGCAAAAAGTGAAGTTTCTTGTAGTGTTCCCTTATCACATCAGAAATCACTCATGCAAATCTACGTTGGGTCTTTTTTTTATGTGAAATAAAAAATTAGCATTATAACCGGGCCACACCCAGGAAACCTGCAGCACCTCTCAAACTTTAACAACGTTCAAATCAGTAGGATTACAAACCACTCCTATCTACATTACTGCAAACTATCAAAATCCAGCTGAAGGGCAGGATCTTCACTTACTCGATAGAGTACTTCCTCGCGTATCAACTTTACCAACGTAGCAGGATCTTTTATCGCTCTTGACCCATACATCCGAGAACACCTCTCACGGCAGATATGGCTCATAACAGCACTCCACAAAACTCTGCATAATCGTGACTTAGCACTCTGCACCTTCCATTCCCTTGCACACCAAGCTACTGTCTCTTCCCAGCTCCCTACTACTGGTGGTGATTGGCTTTTCATACACAACTTCAACACAAATATTGAGTAAGGGCAGTGCACAAGAAGATGATCTCTACTCTCTTTACCTCCTGGGCATAATAAACAGCAACCAGATACGTGCTTGCCCCAAGATAACAACTTATCCTAGGTTACCAGCCTCCTGTGAATAGCTAGCCAGAGAATCAGACCATGCTTAGGAATGACTTCCTTCGCCCAAACTAACCTCCACCACAGCACTTCTTGGTTCTTCTCCCTGATGTCATTCCATACCTTAGACATCGAGTATTTCTTCATTTTCTCCTCCTGCCACAGTATATAGCTTCCATTTCCAGTTACAAATGGGTAAGCAATTGACCTGCATTTCAATAGCCGTTTCCAGATCCATGTTCTTGCAGAAGTAGCTGGGATTTCCCAAATACTTCTTCATTTCAATCTGTATCTAGATACCCAGGCAACCCAAAGACAATGCAGTCAAAATCGCGCATTAAAACGTAAAAACTTACATTTTTACGTATCCAGGCCACCAAAATGTTTCAGTTTCTAACTAAAGTCGCTTAGTCACAAAAACTGGTAAAAACATGGGTAAAATCGCGATTCTGAATCGTTTTTATACGATTTTGATCATCTCATAAAAAAGTGCCAATTGGCCCAAAATGATGTAATTTTTGAGACATATCATCAAAAAATAAAAAAAAGGAAAACCTGATTCATCACTCGTTCTACAACTAGTGTCGAGATAGGGGATTCACATTAGGTTGAAAAGACACCTAATGGTATTCTCAACAACCGCTGACCTTCTATCAGTCTTCTCCCTTAATCTTCACTTGTGGCTCTTACTTGGGTTACGATAAAAGTTTATCGGTAATTGATCGTATGTAATTATGTAAACTCAAATCAGCTTATGAGAATTTGGATTCTCAAGCTCGCTTACGGGTTACGATCTACGTTTATGAGCTTATTATTAAGATGTTATGAGTTTGATCTACTTTTGAGTCAACACAAAATAGTTTATGTGTTAGATATTACATTTTAATTATGAATTTCATGTAGTTATTCACTTATCTAAAATCTACACACTCACATTTTACATATTCTATGTTGTACTTAACATATTTTAGCTATTTTAGAGGGTGCGTCAAAAACTTACGCTTTTACGCTTTGATTCTACGTTTTACGATTTTACCCATTTCCCACTTCTAGGTAGATTCGCGCTTTTAATTGCATTGCCAAAGAGAGCCACCCAGAGTAAGGATTTCCCATAAATGCCGCAAGACACAAGCCTTGTTCTATACACTAAAATTTCTGATGCCTAGTCCCCCCTCCTTCTTAGGAGTTGCCAACTTATCCCAAGCCATTACTGCCTTTTTCCTACTTCCATCTTCAGCTCAATCCCACAAGAACTCATTACATAATCTCTCCACCTCCTTGATAACATATTGAGGCAGCAAGAAGATATTAAGCCAGTACTGAAGAGTGCTTGAGATGACAGTTGAAATAAGTTGAATTTTCCCAGCATAGCTTAATAACTTTGACCCCCAGCTTCTTAATCTCTGCGTTATCTTATCCTCTAGCACCTTATAGTCCTGCCTTGTGAGTTTGCCTATGATAAATGGTACTCTAAGGTACCTCACTGGAAGTGTACCAAGAGGAAAGTCAGTAAACTCAGATATTGTATTCATCTCTTCCTTTGGGATTCCAGCACCAAAAAATTGACATTTAGCTAGGTTGCATCTCAATCCAGAAAGCTTATAAAAGTTATCCATTAATCTTCTAATGCTTGCTACCCCTCTGATCGACCCGTTAGTAAACATCATCAAATCATCCGCAAAACACAAATGGGTAACCATAAGAGGTTTACAACTAGGATGGTAAGGAATCTGGTTCTCTGAATCTGGTTCTCACAAACAGTCAAGAGTTTCCATTGAAATTGTAAACAAGTAGGGAGACAAAGGATCTCCCTGCCCCAGCCCTTTACCTGCCTTAATATTCCCACACAACCCACCATTAATTGCCACTTTAATAGTTGGAGTGGTAACACAGGCAGCAAGCAGTATAAGAAAACCCAAGGGAAACCCCATGGCCTCCATAACATGAAACAAAAATTTCTAGTTTACTGAGTCAAAAGCCTTCATTATATCAATCTTCACCACACATCTAGGAGTAATATTCTTCCTATGGTAGTTTCTGACCAATTCTGACACCAGAAGTATATTATCACTTATAGATCTCCCTTTAATGAAAGCAAATTAAGATCTGCTAATCACACTAGGAAGCACTAAAGCAATTCTATTGGCTAGCAGTTTAGATATCCCCTTATACAATGTGTTACAGCAAGATATGGGTCTAAAATCCCTCATCTTTTCAGAACTAGGTATCTTGGAAACCAATGTAAATATTGTACTATTCACAATAAGAGGCATGACACCAGTAGAGAAGAATGAAAGAATTACCTCTTCTACTTCAGGTCCAATAAGAGACCTGTGAGTTTTATAGAACTCAACTGAAAATCCATCTGGCCCTGGGGCCTTATCCTTACCAAGAGTCTGGAAAACCTGCTTGATTTCTGCTCGTGAAATTCCTCTCATCAACATTTCCTTCTCTTCATCTGATAAATTTTGCTGAATTAAATCCTGATGATAAGAAATAGGTTGAATCTCCACATTGGGATCCTCAGAACAAATCAACTTTTCATAGAATCCCACTGCAATCTCACCAATACTCTGCACATCCGTTTTCACTTCACCACTGTCATTCATCATTCTAGTGATTTGCTGCCTTTGAGTTTTAATCTTCACAGTTTTATGGAAATAGGCAGTATTAGAATCCCCTTCCTGTATAGCTTTTGTCCTTGCCTTCTGGCTATAGAATAGCTCTTATGCCTTTTTAAGCTCAAGATACTCAATACAAAACTTCTTTTCCTTTTCCACTAGCTCTTCAGTGGGGTTATGCAACACCTCCCTTTGAGCAGACTCCAATGCCACTACTGCTTCCTTCACTCTTCTAGAAATATCTGAGTAAACTTCTCGATTCAACTGCTTCAAAGCCTGTTTAACACTCTGTAACTTCCCATAGAAAATATAATAGGAATACCCCTCCACCTCCTTGGCCCATGCATGTTCTACAATATTGACATAGTTAGGATGAGATTGCCAAAAGGTAAAGTACTTGAACGGCTTAGGAAGTGTTTTCTGCTTTAGATCATTGTTCAAAATTAATCCAAAATGGTCTGATACCCCTGGAGGATTTGTGTGAGCTGAACTCATGACTGCTCCAGCCATGCCTGATTCACAAGCACTCGATCAATCCTACGAGCAATAGGATTTGCCTTCTGCTTATTCCACCATGTGAACCAGTTTCCTGCAACCTTGTGATCCACCAATTCCATGTCCTTTATCCAACCTCTGAAATCCTGCATACTCTGCGTTATCTCCTGCACATTTGATATTTCATTAATCTCAGCTATTGCATTGAAATCCCCCATGAAAATCATGGGAATGCTATCATCTCTTCTCAACAGCAACTCCTGATAAAGACTTTGCCTCTCCACCTCTTTATTCGGACTATAAACAGAGACCACTACGTATGGTTTAGTATCCTCTACCAATATCTGTAAGAAATGCTCCCCTTCCTCTATACGAGTAACCTTCAATCCTGCCCTCCAAAAGAACCATACTCTACCCGATTTTGATTTTTCATAGTTATCTAAATGTTGCCAAACAGAAAAAGCTCCTTCAATTATTTTCTTACTATTTTCTCGTGT